ATGCAAATATACCCCAGACTCCTAACCCGTTTCCAGCTGAATAGCAAAAAAGGGAGTGCTAAAGCTTCAAGCAAAAGGTAATCACTCCTGGGTGGGCTTGAGCCACCAACCTCCTGATTAACAGTCAAATGCGCTAGCCAATTGCGCCACAAGAGCAAAACGCTTGCAACCAAATCTTGATCAGATATATCTCCTTAGTAGTTACAAAGGGGCTAAGTAGTACAAAATCCATACAGGTTACTGCAATTCATTAAAATAACTATTATCCAGAGTATGCCATGACTACGGGATGTATTGCAGATACTAAGGCAAACAGGGCTTGCCCAAGGTAGTGATGACACTATCTTACACTATTAGCCAACTAATTCATACTCAATATTCAAGCAAATGTATAGCCGCCTTAGCTCAGTTGGAAGAGCATTAGACTGAAGTTCCAAAGGTCCTGCGTTTGATCTGCAGAGATGGCAATTTTTATTTTTTTAGCCAATGTTACTCAAAATTGGCTAAGGTTTGGCAGAAATTTGGACGGTCATAAGAATACAGTCACTAGAGTCACAAGGGAATCACCGGATAGTACTTCATTTAGTTTACATCTATACGCAAAACAAAGGGAACAAGAACGAAATGCCCCCGTGGCCTAATTGGATAAGGCATCAGACTTCTAATCTGAGGATTGTGGGTTCGAGTCCCACCGGGGTGGCTTTCTCTTTTTGTACTGATTACTGGTCGGCATCAAGAGTCTTTTGTTGCTTGACATGTGTTTTATAGGATTGGGTAGGAAGAGCCATTTCAGAGGTGTGAATCATACCCTTTTGAATGGTTACAGTTTGTATACTATTTAAACTGGAGGTATGCGTGCATGGGCACAGTCAAAATATCAGATTGTAATACAGTCCTACCAAAGGGTCAAAGGGCGTCTTTGTCTTAGATATTCAACAAAGCAGCGTAGCGCAGAGGAAGCGCGCGGGGCTCATAACCCCGAGGTCGGAGGATCGAAACCTCTCGCTGCTATCTAATCTTTTGCTGACTCCTCAAATGTATGAGTGTCGCTATTACATTTATACCATGAAAATGTGTGAATGCTAAATAGGAGTTGAAGAATATGTATACTTATTGCTTCTCTTTACAGAATCTGCAATCAAATCTTGCCCAAGAACTTGCCGTATATGCTAGAAGCCTTTACCTTGACCAGAGGCTTCTAAGCACTCACACACAATAACTTATTGTACTGCCAAGGGTGCAATTTTCATCATGCGAAATAGACCTAGCAAAGGGATGTATTAACGATCGAACTGCTGTGCAACATTACACTTACACATTAACACAGCATTGTAGTTAGAATGTTTTCATGTATTCCTCATTGGTCCAGTGGTTAGGATTTCTCGCTTTCACCGAGACGGCCGGGGTTCGATTCCCCGATGGGGAACTTTTGCATTCAACTACGTTGTAAAGGCTCATTTTTAATGTTGTTTGAATTTTGCTGGCACAATGTTGTACCTCCTGAATGATTATTGCTACCCTACCGTGGGGTATTAAATCACGCAAAATAGTCTGGAGCTTGTAATATATTGATATAAGATATCCCCGGTATACATGCTTCCTTAGCGCAGTTGGCAGCGCGTTAGTCTCATAATCTGAAGGTCGCCAGTTCGATCCTGGCAGGGAGCAGTTTCTTTTGATATTTTTTTTACTCTGTGTTGTTACTATGCATTACAAAACAACAATTGTGCGGTGATTCTATACCTCAGGTTCTCCTAATATATGCAGTACCATGCTCTGGGTGTCTGTTTCACACAGTGAAATATCGTAGATATTCGAAAATCCCTTGGGATGAAGTATATATGTCTATATAGGTGGTATGATTTTATGCTATGCATTAATGGTCGCAGGTCTTTTCAAGCAAACAAAAGGAATATAACTAAGCTTTTACACATACAGCCACGTGGCCCGGCTAGCTCAATCGGTAGAGCGTGAGACTCTTAATCTCAAGGTTGTGGGTTCGACCCCCACGTTGGGTGCTTATACTTTTGCCTTGATCCGCTTTTGATCGATTTACTTTTCAAACGGCAATTGATGAGATTGACAGATCATTGTTGCATTCACGGATATGTGAATCTGTATAATATTAGCCCTCCAAGTAACGGACGTATAGCTCAGTGGTAGAGCAATTGACTGCAGATCAATAGGTCGGTGGTTCAAATCCGCCTGCGTCCTTTTTACACACTTTAACAGTTTTTTTATGCCCGAGATAAATATAAATGAATGGCTTTGAGCGAATGGAAAATAGCATTGCTGCAAATATTAAAATTCTTTACTGCAACATGGCAAAAATGGAGGACCTGGGTATCGATCCCAGTGCCTCTCGCATGCTAAGCGAGCGCTCTACCATCTGAGCTAGACCCCCATTTATATTAGGCTTTCTGGAGTAGTGGTGATATTGCTAGGTACTGGTGTATTCTTGAGGACTTTTGTAAAATGACCGATAGTGTATTGTGCATCTTGTTAGGGTGGTATTGCCTTGAGGATTTGGCGGTATACTCGCTCTTTGTGTGGGTGAAATCTTTGGTACGATTCCCAGTAAAGATCCATATCCTATAACTATGGTCCAAGATGCAAACGGAGGCACATACATGTATATATATATATATGAGGCAGAAATACTGTTGTAAAAACATTATCTATGTATTTTCAAATAAACGGGTTATCGAGTAATAAAATATTGCTACTGCCTATACTACTATACTTAGAGTGGCATGTAAAAAGCTCTCAGACCGGGAATTGAACCCGGGTCTCCCGCGTGACAGGCGGGGATACTTACCACTATACTATCTGAGAATTAGTTACGATAAAATAAAGAATAAACTGTATATTTCTACCAAGTGTTTATCAGCATACAATATAACAAAGCCACTAAACAACAACTTTGTGAAAGTACACTTGTGTATGTATCTATTTCGACGATAACTTGAGGGAAATGAGTTAGCAAGGAAAAAACGAAAAAGGAAATTTGCTCACAGCAGGGGTCGAACCTGCGACCTTGGCGTTATTAGCACCACGCTCTAACCAACTGAGCTATGCGAGCTGTTCGATAACATACAAATATTTGCTTATTTAGTAATGTGCAAAGGGCATCTACTTTACACACTTCTTAACCCTTGGTATGCGAGGTATGCGAATACATACACTCTTAAGTTGCGTTGCTTCCGGAGTATCTTACTGTTTTGATATAGAATTGATGGTCTAAAATGCAAGATTCCAACTGGGAGGCACACGCCCAGATTCACAATGTAGCAATCGGTTTGCACTAAGCCTAGGTAAGTGCTATTACTATGGCGAGTTCACTAAGAGATAAACATATAGTAGTATCATCAACAAGTCCTCATTGGTCCAGTGGTTAGGATTTCTCGCTCTCACCGAGACGGCCGGGGTTCGATTCCCCGATGGGGAAAACCTTTTTGAATTTAAATACGTTCTTGACTAAGTACACTCTATGTTTGGCTAGATAAGCCAATATTTTATTCACCAACGTTATGCTTTTGTGACTAAGAACTCGGCACACTTGATGAATTGACCTCTCCTTCAATGGTATTTCATTGATTCATTGCATGTAACATTTTCTCATAGTTGTAGACTACAAAATGTTGGTTGCAAAATAACGAGCATACCAGGGATCGAACCTGGAATCTCCTGATCCGTAGTCAGGCGCCTTATCCATTTGGCCATACGCCCTTATAGCATATACTTGCCAGCTGGTAGACTATGAATCTCTTTAGCCTTTGGTGGTGACATCCAAAGTTGCGCACTGCTTCCCCTGAATGTTATCATGAACTACCTTTCCGCCCCCCTATTGTAATTGCATACTTGGTTTAGTGGTATAATTACCGCCTGCCACGCGGTAGACCGGGGTTCGATTCCCCGAGTATGCATTTTGCTGTAGGTGTCTTTGCGATTTCCTTTCTTTGAGCAATACTTTGACGTATGAGATAATACGTTTCATTCTTTTGTTGGCTAGCTGCATCTGGCTTACTGTATCGTTGCTGTTTTGCTGGGAATGGCAAGAGTAGGAGTTATGTGCCTGCTTGGACGCAGGTGTTGCTTCTTACCTTACTCACCATAAAGCTGACAAAACAGAAAAAGGACTTGGATGGCCGAGTCATATACCCGAAGCTCCAGGAATGTGCATGTTTCCTCCTTTGATTAGGGTTAGTTAATCAATGCAAAATATCAAGGCTAAACTGCCCCTCAAAACAACACTGCTGGCTGCCAAAACTTTTGGCATAACCGCCTTACGGTTTATCATCTGGTTAGCCACTCCGTAGGGTATGTCCAACTGCAATTCGAACCTATCGTTGTTGCGCACAATCATGCCGCCCTACCTTCTGACATCATGGCTCTGGTGCTACATCAGTTTATCACCCCAAATAGCTTTATAGAATAAGACTCTTGCTTAGGTATTTTCCTCATAGAGCCCATCTAGTGCGCTCAGACATATTGCCTTCTTGGCTCAGTTGGCAGAGCGTCTGCCTAGTAAGCAGAAGGTCGCTGGTTCAATTCCGGCAGAAGGCATTTTGCCAACGGCTCTACTTGAATGTAGGTGCTGCTGCTGGTTTTTTTTGTATGCGTGGGGATTTGCCAAGATATCCATCAATGCTGTGCGGGCAAATCAATCATATCAATGCCTAAACTGAGCATAATCATAGTGGCTATCCATATAGTGAAGTGGCCATGTCATAAAATTGTTGCTCTACCTGATCACCGGTGGTGTACATCCCAAAGGTCAAGAGAAATACCGGGAAAAAGAAGAGCGCAAAAACTAATGAAGAGAGTGGGATTCGAACCCACGCCTCCGAAGAGATCACGGCCTTAACGTGACGCCTTAGACCAACTCGGCCATCTCTCCATTTTCACGTTCCAGATGTTATAAAGGAATGTATGGGAATGCTGCAATTATTTGAAACATCTAGTCTATCATTGATATTGGTTCCCACTCCCGTGAACTCCCGAACATAGCTCAGTTGGTAGAGCGGAAGACTGTAGTGTTACCATAGCAATCTTTAGGTCCCTGGTTCAAATCCGGGTGTTCGGAGTCTTGTTTTGTCCCAGCTACATTAGTTGGCTGAGAAGTTTTGAGTTTTACTCCTTGGATAATGGCGGTGCAGCTCTTCGCTTCAGTATTCAAGTACATTCATTAAAATAGATAGTTGACAGTAACATGTGTGTGGCACATACAAATATACCCCAGACTCCTAACCCGTTTCCAGCCGAATGGCAAAAAAGGGAGTGCTAAAGCTTCAAGCAAAAGGTAATCGCTCCTGGGTGGGCTTGAACCACCAACCTCCTGATTAACAGTCAGACGCGCTAGCCAATTGCGCCACAAGAGCAATACGCTTGCAACCAAATCTTGATCAGATATATCTCCTTAGTAGTTACAAAGGGGCTAAGTAGTACAAAATCCATACGGGTTACTGCGATTCATTAAAATAACTATTATCCAGAGTATGCCATGACTACGGGATGTATTGCAGATACTAAGGCAAACAGGGCTTGCCCAAGGTAGTGATGACACTATCTTACACTATTAGCCAACTAATTCATACTCAATATTCAAGCAAATGTATAGCCGTCTTAGCTCAGTTGGGAGAGCGTCAGACTGAAGTTCTGAAGGTCCTGCGTTCGATCCGCAGAGACGGCAATTTTTATTTTTTTAGCCAATGTTACTTAAAATTGGCTAAGGTTTGGCAGAAATTTGGACGGTCATAAGAATACAGTCACTAGAGTCACAAGGGAATCACCGGATAGTACTTCATTTAGTTTACATCTATACGCAAAACAAAGGGAACAAGAACGAAATGCCCCCGTGGCCTAATTGGATAAGGCATCAGACTTCTAATCTGAGGATTGTGGGTTTGAGTCGGAATCATGCAACAATCCCGCGCAAACCGCAAGAAAGTGTTTCAAACTAATAACTATAAAAAGTGAACATTCACCTTAAATAAAGACAGTCGATTTTCACAGTCCGAAATTGGTCGAATTAAACAACCAGAGTTCATCACTCCGATCTGCGTTTTTAGGACATAACATTTGGTAGCAGCTATACATTATCACTGGTAGAAGCCATTAAGAAAACATGCCCACAGATGAATCTACTACTTGGCAACACACCTTGGAAGGTATCCTTTGGGCACAGCTAACACTGTGTACTAAAATGAAGAACGAAATGAACAGGCAAGATACCAGAATCCCTATACACCTAAATAGTTATAGTGATAAAACTGGAGGGAATATAACTGCCTGGATTGTGCAAGTGGAACAGGTGTTCCAAGCAAAGAATGTCATGGATGGCAACAAGAAAATAGCCATCATAGGAAGTTACTTACAAGGCACAGCTCAATCATGGTACCAAGGGAAGTTACTACAAGCAAATGCAAGCAACACTTGTGCTTTCCCCAGTTGGGACTCCTTTAATACCAAAATCATAAGCTTCTTCCTTCCCCAAACTTTCAAGGAACACTAAGAATTGAGCTAGAAAATCTCATACAGAAAAATAGTGTATTGGAGTACGTACAAAACTTCAAGAACATCTTTGCACAAGTCTTTGAAATGGCAGAAGGAGATAGGATACATTACTTCTTAAAAGGTCTCAAGGGAAGAACAAAAGCAGAAGTAAGCTACAAGTTCCCCACAACCACAGAAGCAGCAATACACTATGCCATCACCTATGACTCCATATGGGCAACCAAACCACACTTCTACCATACATCCTCCTAGAAGAATCAGCACAACTGGCCAGATCATTTGCAGAACACCCCCAAAGGCCCCACTCCCATGGAATTAGATCACATACAGCAGACAGACAACCCTAGTAACTCAAAAACATGGTACAGGTGTTACTACTGTAGAAAATCTGGTTACTTCATCAAAGATTGTAGAAAAAGACAAAGTGATCAGAAAGAAAAACATGCAGGAACCGCCTGTAAGAACTCACCAGAGCACTCCCAAGCAAATCTAATGGATCAGCCAGGTGCACTAGGAAGCTATGACCATGACCACTTCCAAGCTAAGGAAACATTATATTTGGCCAAGTCAATGACAGCACAAACACAAAGCCAATCCACTCTGCTAGTATATCTACCAGTAAGGATAAAAGGAAGGTTATACACAGCCCTTGTGAAAAAAAAAAAGCACTTGGAAATTTTTGATGACCACCACCCAAATGACCCAGGCAGCCCGGCTAGACATTGACCATCATCCCATATGCTGTGAGGAAATCACCCCAAGAAACTTCCCTAAGATCTTACAAGATCTAGCCAGCAAGTTCCCCAGGGTCTTCCAGGAAAATTAACCAAATTTCCTCCAGCTAGAGAAGTGGATCATGAAATCAACACTAGTACAGCCAAGCCTGTAGTAAGACCCATTTACAGCCTAAGTCCCAAGGAGCTGGATACTCTGAAGAATCAAATAACCAAGCTACTGCAACAGGCATTCATTAGGCCAAGCAATTCCCCTTGGGGATCTCTTATCCTCTTTGTACCAAAGAAAGATGGCTCACTCAGAATGTGTGTAGACTACCAAGCTCTCAACTCAGTAACAGTCAAGAATAGATATGCACTGTCAAAAGTGCAAGAGCTAATAGAGAGATTACAAGGAGCTAAGATATTCAGCAAAATTAACTTAACTTCAGGGTATTATCAAGTCAGAATTAAGCCAGAAGACATCTCAAAATCCACCTTTAGAACAAGATATGGACATTATGAGTTCACAGTACTCAGCTTTGGTCTCACTGATGCCCCAGCCACATTCATGACAATTATGAACAACATACTCAAGGATCTCCTGGACAAATCTGTAATCATCTTCCTGGATGACATCCTGATATACAGTAAGAATGAGGAACAACATACAAAGGACTTGAAACAGGTACTAAGGATCCTAGAAGAACACAAGCTTGTAGCAAACCCAAAGAAATATGAATTTTTCATCCAAGAAGTGGAATATTTGGGACACATACTCTCTGCAAAAGGGCTCAGAACAGACCCAAAGAAAATAGAAGTTATCAAGACATGGCCCAGCCCTAAAACAGTAAAGGAACTAAGATCATTCCTGGGACTAACAAGTTACTATAGAAGGTTCATCAAAGACTTCTCAAGAATAGCAGCTCCACTGACACAACTCCTGCAAAACAAAGAACCGTACCTATGGACCAAGAGGCAAGAAACAGCCTGACAGCAGTTAAAGGACTGCTTGAGCAACACCCCAGTGCTAGCCTTCCCTGACTTTGAGCAACCATTCCCAGTTACAACAGATGCCTTGGATTTTGCAATTGGAGAGGTACTATCCTATGACATCAATAGAGAACACCCCATTGCCTATGAGTCAAAGAAACTACAAGCAGCAGAACTGAACTACCCAGTACCTGAAAAGGAACTCTCTGCCACTGTGAAATGCTTCAAGACATGGAGATGTTACCTAGAAGGAACCAAAGTAACTGTTAGAACTGACCATGCCTCCCTGAGACATTTGTGGACACAGAAACAGCTCTCCAGACAAGTAGCAAGATGGGTAGAATACCTACAGACATTTGACTTTGACATTGTTTACCTCAATGGCAAGAAGAATCAATGTTGCTGATGCCCTCTCCAGAAACCCCACATTGAAAACACTTATGCTACAAGAAGAAAAGGACTGGCCAGAACTACTACTAGTGCATTGGGAGTCAGGAACTTTTCCAACTCAGACCACACCAGAAATCCAAAGAAAAGTGGACAGAAAACAGTAGACACTTCCACTCAACACCAAGAAGTAATCTACAAGAAAACCAGTGCAGGAAATGTGCCATGTATACCATTTGCCATGAGAACAGACTTAATAGCCAAGTACCACCAAGGATTTTGACACTTGGGAGTCAAATGGACCACAGAAACAGTGTCTAGAAAAGCTTGGTGGCCAAGAATGTCAAAGGACATTAAGTGTGTAAGAGTCTTGGAGATATTGGAAGTGATTGGAGAACAAGTAGATTATGTGTTTCACTTATGATTATGATGTAGTATATACTTTTACCTGGTCTTGGCATTACAAACACGTAGTATAGGTTAAGGAAGGTCCCAAGAACATGTGTGCAAAGTTTGGGGCTGTTTGGACAACTTTGAGAATTTTCATGTTCTGGGTACCTGGTATTTTGGTGAAAATATTCTAAGTAAATCCAACAAGGAATTTGGTCAGTATTCTCTAGGATTTGAAGGTGATGATCTAAGTGACCAAGTTAGGTGAATATTTAGGCGGAAATACAAATTTTACAACATTAAGCACCTAGTCTGCACCTGCCCAGAGTGCCAACTCACCCAAAATGCTCACCAGAACAACTTGCAAATGTATCCACTACTGCTAGTTGAACCATTCCACAAATTGGGCACTTGACTTTATTGGAGTTTTACCTAAAACAAATTCTGTAAAACAATGGATCCTGGTGGGAATAGACCATTGCACTAAGTGGCCAGTAGCAAGAGCATTCAGAGAAGCAAGCCACAAAGAAGTAGCCTTGTTCATATATGAAGAAATAGAAATGAACTATGGTTGCCCAGCTGAAATTCTAACAGACAGAGGTGCCAACTTCATGGCAAAATCCCTGGAACACTACCAGGAGTTACTGAACATTAACCACCTCCTAGACTTTGGCCTACTGTCCAAGAACTAATGGAGCCATAGAAAGATTCAATGAACTCTTTGGAAGAATGCTAACCAAATACTGCAAGGGAGCAACACACAAATGTGACCAGTTCATTAATCAGGCACTTTTTGCTTGCAGAATATGAGTTCATGCCACAACTGGGTACTTCCCATTCTACATGATGTATGGAAGACACCCAGTCATACCAGGAGACACCCAGAAACCGGATCTATGGGATATATAAGGATCCTGAGGACCTAGCAGAATACAAGACAAGAGAACAAGAAGAACTGGGCCAAAATAGAGCAGCAGCCATATCCAGAGCAAAAGGAGCCTCAGAAAGATTGAAAATCTGCTATGACAAGAGATGCAAACACTCTGAACTACTAGGAAGGAGAATATGTGCTCATTAAAAACAAAAC